CTCTAATACATGCTGCAGCCCTGCCTCTCCACTGCTAGAAGGAATCCAGAATCTCATCTACCTCTTAGTAGATCAGTTTCTTTGTGTGAGTTGCAAGCTTGCAGGCCCGCGTCCTCATACAGGCTGTAGCACTGAAACAGTAATTCCAAGGAAGACCAGTCCCAGGGTTCCTGTATCTGTAGTTCCTACCTGGATTATAACCGGTATTGGGTACCTGAATTTTGATTGGTTAGCCTTAATTATAGCCTGGCATAATCATGCAGAATTTTTTCTAGTGGTCAGATCACAAAGTTCTGTCAGGGCACCCATGTTCGTGGTGCTATGCTGGTCAAAATCTGAGGTTTTAAAATAAACAATTTGTTGTATTCATGTCTCTAAATACATGTTCTTTTTCTTTGCTTAGGTTACTAAGGTTGAAAAAAAAAAGAAAGGGAAGTAGTATTCTGTTAGCCCTGCTTTGACTAGTGCTTTTTGAAAAAAACCAAACCTCTAAGGAAATAATGCTGGAAGTTAATAACAATTGGTCATTTCCCTCAAAGGATTCCCTCTGCCTTCCCTGCACTTGTCCTGTCTGAGCCGTGGGCATATGCAAGATTGGTGCTCGGGCCACCCCATTACTCTCAGACGGCCTGTTTAACTTGCCCTGCCGCCTGCATCTGCCCGCCAGACTGGACACCCCATCTGCCAGCTGGGCTTGGCTCTGTGGAAGAGCTGGAAGCTGATCCTTTCAACACAGAGCAGGGCTTTGGCATTGGCAGTGCTGCTGGCCCAGCCTGTGGAGGAAGAAAGAGGGGCTGATTTAAAAGAACACCCATGGGGAAGGGGCCCAGAGATGGGCAAAGGGAGCCAAGTGTGTAGGTGCTGAAACAAATTATAAAATTAAGAAACCACCTACCTCCAATTATTCTTGACCAAACAAGATATGGCTTTGCCTGGTTCTTGTTTCTTCCCACTAGCTCTCCTTTGCTGTATGTGCTCTTTAATTTTCCTGATGGCCTAGGTGTCTCATTCAAGTACCACAGTCATAACTAGGCCCTGTTTGTCCCAGCCTTAGGGAGGACCACATACAGGTATTTGGGCAGAGGGAGACAGGAATACGGTGGTTTGGTTCTGGTAATTACAGTGCTTGGGTGAGGGCTGGGGTTGAAGCAGAGCCAGGCAAATGAGCCGTGCTCCAATCCAGCAAAGGTAAGCAGGTGCCCTTGTTCACTTCCCCCAGTTACAGGCTGATGTGCTCTAAGTAATTTATTTAATAACAGAAACACGGGTGTCCAGCCACGACAGTGGTGAGCACGTCCACCACCAGCAGTCTTCCTAGATCCCACTTCTGCTGGCCCCCACCTGTGGCTCCAAATTGAGCCTGGTGCGTGTGACAGATACCAGGGCCACCTTTGCTTCTGGCTCTCTGTGTCTCCCACCTGGCTACAGCTTGAGTTCACTGGGCATCGGCTCCCCTCTCAGGCCAGCCAGCAGGTTGTTAGCTGCCAACAAGGACATGGTGTTGCGAGTTCCATGGGTGGCACTGCCAATGTGGGGCAGGATCACTGGAAAGGAGAGAGAGGGAGATGAGAAGGGTGGCCCAAGAGCCTTAAACTGGGCTTTTTTTTTTTTTTTAAAGAGAAATTTTTGCTATAGGATCTGTATGCTTGCCGGAGAGACAGACAGCAAGAAATCACCCTACCCCCTCAACCTGGGGAGATGGCCACGCCACAATTCCTTCTCCATTCTCCTCCCAGGAATTTGGGCACGCATGCACACATGCCTGGTGTGAAATTTAAGCTGCCGGGTCGGGGACTCAAACTGCGATGGACGATGTGGGAGTCCAGCGATGTAACCATTACACCATCTGCTGGTTCCTCAGGCTTGCTCTTCATAGCTTGGTTTTGTCAGTAAGAATAGAGAACCTGCCTCCATATTCCCTAATGGCTTTTCCTCCTCCTGTAATGAAGCACTACTCCCCCTCCCCCAGGCACTAAGGTTCAGAGTAACAGAAGAGAGACCCCAGGATACTGATGCCCAGGCTCGGTGGTGAGAGACAGGAGTCTTCAATGACCAGAATGTCAGTGCTAGAAAGGGCCTGGGAGGCCACAGAGACCCAGCCCTTCAGCCAAAAGATGGGGAAACTAGGGGCCAATTTAGTGGAGGAGCTCAGCACTGACTGCCTCACTCTGCGCCCCTGAAAATGATGCCGCAGGGTTTCTGATCTGTGCTGGATGGCAGTGCTCCCTCTGGCACCTCCTCCCTCAGGGCAGGTGAGGTCACTTGTTCCCAAACAACTGCCTTTCTATGGGTCCTGGGGACACTTTGCCAAACTCCCAGGCCTTGGGGCATGGGGCCAGTTTTCCCAGCTTTTGGCAACAGCCCTGCGAGTACAGCCAATGGTGGTTGCAGGCTGGGGTGGGTGTGGGGACGGAGCATTCCAAGGGCTGCAAAATGGGCGCATTCACTGGGGAAGGCAGCGAGGGCCCTTCGGTTTGGGTTTCCATTCCAGAATGTAACTAAGCACAGGCTCTGGCCCAGCTGCCTAAGGCCCTGACCTCTTGCAGTCTGCAGGCAGGAACCAACCCAGCCACCTGAACACGGAGAACTTACTGGATCATCGGAAAAAACCATGATGCATTTTCACAAAGAAAAAAAGTAAGTCATGACTTTTCCAAAGATCCAACAGTACAAAAGGATCAGTAGCCAGGAAAAGTTAACTAGGAACAGAGTGGGCAAAAGGAACACATGAAGGCAGTGCTCCTCAAGTGTGGTCCCAGCACCATGGCAGCATCAGTATCCTTGGGAGCTCAGGCCCCACCCATACCAGGGACAGAAACCCTAAGTGCGGCAGTGTGGCCCAGCCACTGTGACCACATTCCTTCCAGGTGACTGAGGACCTTAACAGAATGAGAACTGCTGCACTGAGTATCCCAGAGGTAGCCACTGCTGGAAGCATTCCCCTCCCCCGCCCGCCTAGGGCTAGGGGGACAAAGGGAAGGTGAGATTGTTAAGATTCAGAAGACTGGGGACCAGCAGATGGTGTAGTGGTTATGTTGCTGGACTCCCACGTAGTTGACCATGGTTTGAGTCCCAGACCCGGCAGCTTAAGACACATATGCAGGGTGTGTGTACATGCGTGCCCAAAATCCCAAGAGGAAAATGGAGAAGGAATTGGGTGGCCATCCTCCCGGGGGGTGATTTCTCACCTTCTGTCTCTCGGCAAGCACATGTACCCTCTAGCAAAAATCTCTCTTAAAAGTTATTTCGGACAAGTGGCGCCCGCCCTATGGCAAAAACCTATGGAGGCTGGAGGACTGCGGCATGGGACGAGCAGTTAGTGTAATGGCTATGTCGCTGGACTCCCACGTAGTCGACCGCGGTTTGAGTCACGGACCTGGTGGCTTAAACTCACGCCGGGCGCATGTGCGTGCGTGCCCAAGATCCCGAGAGGAGAATGGAGGAGAAGGGATTGCGGCGTGGCCATCCCCCCTGGGGGGTGATTTCTCACTTTCTGTCTCTCTGTCTCTCTCTGTCTGTCTGGCAAGTGCACGCACCCTATAGTAAAAACCTCTCCAAAAAAAAAAAAAAGTTATTTTAAAGACTCAAAAGACTGAGGATAGGCCCTGTGGAGACCTTCGAGGCAGGACATTAACTGGCTGGTTAACTAAGTGCTGAGAAAACTGCAAACTGGATTCTGCAGTCACCCAGGAAGGAGCTGCTGCTGCCTGGTGACACTGCTGCCACTCCCCAACAGAAGGCGGGTGGGAGCTAGCCCTCAGGCCCCATACCAATGGAGCCTCGCAGGGCTGCTGGCACAGCAGAAATGCAGTGCAGAGGCCTGGCCCCAGTGTCACAAAGCAGACAGAGAAGGGGCTTACTAGCTGGGATGAGCTACAAACACTGGTGTTGGAATTACACTTTTACTTTCTCATGCTTAAGCTGATAAGAGTAATTTATTGGTAGTGGGTTTTACCCATGTGTAGCTGTGGGTGCAAGACACACAGTCCACCCACTTTTTTTTTTTTCTTAAATCCAGATCAGCTGAATGTGCTCAGGAGGGCCTCTCCTGTTGCTGGGTCCCACTGTCACTCACTGCATGTGTGGTCCTGCTGTGTTCCTTTGCACTCAGCACTGCTCATGCCAGCTGCATGCCCAGCACTCGGGCACCTCTAAACGCTGTGTTTTATGGGGTGGCAGGAGCTGCCTAGGAGCATAAAGTTCTTACCACAGTTCTTCAGGGTCAAGAGAGGGTGGTTTGTGGGCAATGGCTCTGGTGTTGTCACATCCAGTCCCGCAGCTGCAATCTGACCACTGGCCAAGGCCTGGTACAGGTCATCCTGGTTTACGACATCTCCCCTGGAATGACAGTAGTGATGCGAATGCCTCCAAGATTCCTTTCATTGTCTTTTTTGGTGAAATTTATTTCTTTCGAGGCCGGCAGGTGGTATGGTGGTTAAGGGCGCTGGACTCTCACATGGCCAACCGTGGTTCAAGTCCTGGACCTGGTGGCTTGCTTTCTCACTTTCCCTCTCTCTCTTGCTCTGTCCCTCTCTGGTCAAATTAAAATAAATAAATAGATAAATAGATAAATAAAGTTGAATAAAATAATTCTTTAAAAACAATTTCTTTTTTTCGTGAGAGCAAGAGACAGAAGGAGACAAGCATATTAGATAAGGCCCTACAATCCCCACCCACACCACCCTCCCCCCATTTCCAGCAGCCAGAATCACAGGTGTAGATGACTGGTCCGTAGGGGTCGACCAGGGAACCAAACCTGCAACCTTCCAACCTGCTTCACTTGAGCAGCACGCTACTGCTGTGCCATCAAGCCAACCCTGCAGGGCAGAACAACCCACGAAATGAGTCTTTCCACTGACCTGGCATTGGGCAGCGACCTTCAAAGCAGAAAGTCTCAGCCCATACTTACTGACGGTCTACAGGAGTACAGGCCCTGTACTCAGAGAAACCCAGCCCTGCACTTTCTAGCTGTGAGAACTTGGGCAAGTGTCTCACATTGAGCCTCAGGCTTCTCTGCAAGTTAGGGAGAACACCACCTACCTCTCAGGGTGTTGGAGGATTAAAGATTATTAACATGTACTATGGCATGAACAGGACCCAGGAGTCTGTGTGCTGGACCCATCAGGGATTTCTGATCTGACTGGCCCCCAGACCCCCACTGAGAACCACTGTAGCATGCCAGCAGGACCTGCCTAGTGAGGCAGGGAAAAGACGGTACACCTTAAAGACATCCATCGCAGTGAATAGCCACCGATTTTCTAGAGACTTCATGCTGAGCACTAAATAATTTTTTTTTTTTTTTTGGGAGAGATTTTCACTGTAGGGCGCGTGCGCTCGCCAGACAGACAGAGAGAGACATAGAGACAGAAAGCGAGAAATCACCCCCCAGGGGGGATGGTCACGCCGCAATCCCTTCTCCTCCATTCTCCTCTCGGGATCTTGGGCACGCACGCACAAGTGCCCGGCATGAGTTTTAAGCCACCGGGTCCGGGACACGAACCGCGGTCGACTATGTGGGAGTCCAGCAACATAGCCATTATGCTAACTGCTGGTTCCCAGTACTAAATAATTTTTGTGAAATAAACAGATAAGGCCCAGTGTAGTCCCAGGTGCAAGTGGGCGTTCGGGAAACAGAAGCTCTGTCTGTCAGCCGTTGATGTGAGCCCTGTGTTCCTACATGTTTCACTCTACCCAGGTCGCCTCCTTTGCAGCTGAACATTGGTAATTACAGGCATCTTTGGGGAGAGTGAGCCCTCAGGGAACCTCAGCCAGCCCCTTCCTTCCAAACAGGTCCGAGGCTGGCCCTTAGCTCAGCAGTCAGGCATCATGCATAGTGAATGGGATCTCACATGGCTGAGCAGTTCACATCCTGACGTCAGGCATAAACGTGTGCATGCCTCAAATCCTGATGGCAGGGAGAAATGCAGGAAATAAGGATTGTGGCATGAGTATGCCCCATTGAGGGGTTCTCTCTCTCTCTCTCTCTCCCCCCCCCTCTCTCTCTGGTAAGTGCACACACACTCTGGCACTTAAAAAAAAAAAAAGGTTCAAAGGGTATGAGCTAGGAAGGGGCTGGAATGACAGGAGGAGGGGCTGTCCCTGTACATGCCTAGAGGCCTGAAGACATTCTGAAGAACCCAGACAACTTGAGTTTTAGATTCAAACTCACTGAACTCACAGTCAGATGGCCCTGGGCTCAGCGGCGTGGAAGGTCAGCCTCAGAGGGGGCATGTACACCACTACATCCAAGGGCGTGAAGAATGGGCCAGCCCATCACGCTTTCGCTCCTTTAACCAATACTACAGTGCACCAGGCCTGGCAAGGCTGGGGAGCGGCTCTGCCCTGCCTCCCACTCTAGGCTCTCCATGGCCTTCACTCTGTTTCTGTCGGCCTGTTGGTTTACGGAGACCAGCAGGCTCAGCCCAAGACCTCATCATGACCCGCAGGGCAGGAAAACCCCAGACCACAGCAGTAGGGACAGCCCCTCTCCAGGCCTGCTGGGTGACCAGGGATGTCCAAGGGCCTGTGCTACCTGCTGATGTTGACAAACACAGCCGTTTTCTTCATCTTCTGGAAGAAGTCCTTGTTGCAGAGCCCCTGGGTGGCAGGCGTTAAGGAACAGGTCACAAGGATGAAGTCAGACTCGGCGGCCAGCTGCAGGGCGGACACTAGGGAGGGCAAGGCTCTGGCAGTTAGGGTCAGCAAAATGGCAGGGGACAATACCTCTTCTCCCTCCTCCCAGAGGCTTCCTGAAGGCCTAGTCAGTCTCCCCTGGATGACACTGATGACTGTACGGTCAACAGCCACTCATGGGACCCTGGCGTATCACGCCATTCAGCCAGCCCTTTGGTGTAAAGGATGGGGAAATCAAGGCCAAAGGGGGCGGAAACTTGTTTACAGGCACCCACTGTGAACGGGGCCACTCTGACTCTCGCCACCTTGTGGGCCTGGTGTGCCAGGAGGTAAGGAATGGCTATGGTCCGGCCTGCCCTCTGTTCACCAAGCCTCACTAGGGGCTGGATCCACCTGGACTAAGGGCCACACAGAGGCTGAGGCAGCACCACCCTACAAAAACTGTGACGGTGCTCTGCTCCTCCTCCATCACCTCTGCTGCTCAGCCACCCAGGGCAGTGGCGACAGGGACTCTGGAAGACAGAAGAGACCTGGAGGGCACTCCCGGCACTGAGAGCCCACTGCGGCCGAGAGGAGTTGGGGAGCCTGTGGGTTCAGGGGCAGGGAGATTAGACAGCAGTAAAACATAGCAGCCTCCAGACACACCTGGGTGTCTGCAAATGCCACCACTGAAGAAAAGAGGGCCCCAACTGGGCACAGACAGGTCTCCTGTGCAAACCAAGATTTTACTCACCAAACTCTGCCTGGAATTCTGCTGCTTCCTGAGGCCTGGGCTGGCGTCCCGTGTAGAGAAATCTCTGGACCCCGAATGGTTTCAGACGCCGAGCAATGGCCTGTCCTAGAGGCAAGGAATCTGAGTTCATGGCTTATCCCCTGCCCTTCAGACAGGGCGCAGCACCCAGCAGCTTCAGGGACAGAGGGCTCTTGGGGCACATCCTATCATCAGCACAGAGCTGTCATTAACTGGTCCTGTCTTCTCTGGAGCTGAGGGACTGCCCCTGCAAGTCCAGTGACCTGGAAGTGACCCCACAGTTCCTCTGTGGCTGTGACTGGCTTCTGCTGTCCTCCCATGGTCTCGGCCATCCTGAGTGCCACTGTCTGACCTTCTCTGAGAACTGGACCTTGCATCCCAGGAATCACCTGGGCAGAGTCCCCTCCCTCCTTCTGGACCTTCTGTTTCTGGTAATGCACTCTCACACTTCAGCTGACATCTTGGTGCCGTTGCCAAACTGCCAACTCACACAAAACCTACAGGACCTCTCCACATATGCTGAGCCAGGCTTGAGCAGTTGGATTTCCAGCTGAGGGCATGCCCCAAAGCTTGGGTTCCTCCAGGCAACTCTCTAGTGAGAACAGCAGGGCTGCCAGCTGGCCAGACAGGCTGGCTACCTCTCCATCCTCACCCTCAGCCCTGTACCAGGCAGGATGACAGAGAACCCAGCTGCATAGCTGAGCCCAAGCCTTGCCGTCAGAACCCTGGCCGATACAAGGAGCCAGGGGAAGGATAACAGCTCTGCCCTGTCCACAGATGCAGGCAGCCGCTGCCCACAGAGCCCCCTGGGCCCTGGGTTAAAGCCTCATAGGTCAAATGCCTTCCATAACCCAAGCCTGGGGACGCATGCGTCTCCCACAGGAAACCCCCAGGAAAGCAAGCAGTCATGGCCTGCCTCTGTTCTTTAGGGTACAATAACCATGGAGGACTCTGGCTCTCAGCAGCATGCATCTAGCACCTCAGGAGGCCTTTAGGAACTCCTGATTTTGTTTATTCGTTTGCCTACCGCGTGCAAAGTGCCTGATAGCACGGGAGTATAGCAATCCTTCCCAAAGAAGTATTTTCAGCATTCAGACCTGTGGGGCCAGAGACTTGGGCCAACCCAACAAGGGCAAAGGCAGGCAGTGAGTGGGGGGGCCTCACCAATGCGCCCCAGCCCGATGATGCCAACAGTGCTCTGCGTGAGTCCATAGCCACACAGCCACAGGGGCTTCCACGAGGTCCAGCCGCCACTGCAAGGAGAGGGGCAAAGACGGGAGCTTGTCAGGAACTCAGAGACCAGCACCCCTGGCTGTAATCTAAAGCTTAAACTCACACAGGGATCAGAGGACTGAGTAGATGAGCTATGCCCACAGCCACTCAGTGCTGTGGAGAAGCAGCAGAACTGATTCCTCCTTAAAGACATCAGGGGTGTAGGAATGAGGGCTGGAAGGAGCCTCTGAGGCGACCTTCCCATTCTGCAGATGGGGAAACTGAGGCCAGAAAGCGCAATGGGCCTGAAGTCACAGAGCCAGGAGAGAGCTGGGAGCAGTAGGTTGCAAACTCAGGGATCTGGGATTCCAAAGCAAGTTCTCTTAGCACTCTAGGGTGGCAACGCAAAGTACAGCGCAGGCAGAGGTGATGTGGCAGTAAAACACTGTGCAGGCCGATCTACGTGGGAAGTAACGGGTTTGCATCTGCAGGCCCCCCTGAGTACGCCAGGCACCCACGCACCTATGATCTGGAGCTGCTGGGACTAGGGGGGATCGTGGCATCAAAGCCCTACTGGGGGTGCTTGCTTATTGTTTCTCTCTCCTTATCTCTTGCTCATAGAATAAAAAAAAAAAATTCTGGGTTCTCTGAAGCCCTTCCTCTATTCCAAAAAAAAAAAATTGGAAAAAAAAAAAAAAAAAACAGTAAAGGCACAGGCTCACCCCATTGTCCTGGGTAGACGGGAGAACGAAACCTGTCTTAAGCCACCTCCAATGAAGTGCCGACTCCCGGGACAGGCTGGTGAGCGGGAGCTTGGGTGCGGTGTCTACTCGGCCATTGTTCCTGGGCCAGTTTTGGGGGCGAGCATTTGTACACCTCCCACCTTTGCTTAAGCCAATCCCTATACCAGGAAGGCCCTCCTGACTCTAGATAAACAGACCACGCCCCTGATCTGAAACTGTCAGGCCGGGCTTTAGAATTGTTTGGTTTTTAGGACGGTAGTACTATGTGTGGTCTATGTGTCACCCTCAGCATAGCTGGAGGCACCTGTTTCAGATGTGCTGCTGCGTCAGGGGCAAGACACGTGAATGTTCACGCTGAGCAGGAAAAAGCAAGCCCAGCGACAGGGCGGGCTGCATGGCACAGAGAGGCTTCTCTCAAGAGAAGCCCAATCTACTAAATGACCACAGTTTGAATCCCTGGCCGGTCAGCCTGAAACATGCCAGACACAGGCACAAGTGCCCAAGATCCAACAGCCTGGAGGACCGGAGGAAGATCACAGCACGAGTAGATATTGTGGAGGGCACGCCTCCCTCGCTCACTGCCCTCTCTCACATGCGTGCATGTGCTCTATTGTAACTAAGGAAAAAAATTTTTTTTAATTTGCTACATGGCACATGTGCTTGCCAGAGAGAGAGATGGGCAGATGAGGGAGTAAGAAAACACCCCTTAGGAGGGATGACCACACTAAAATTCCTTCTCCTCTGCCTAGCATATTTTACAAGCTGCTGGGCTTGAGACTTGAACTGCAGAGGTGGCCAGGTGGGATTCAGCTGCCTTTACCAGCTTGCTACCAGCTGGTCCAAGAAAAAAAATTGCTTTTAAAAAACCATGTCTTGTTATAGTCAGGTTTTGCTCTCAAAAGATTTAGGAAACAACTTTCCATTCTCAGAGCTTTGTGAGAGATGGTGGGCCTGAACCTGTCAATGCTCAAAAGGATGTCCAGCAGCTACTTCCATGCAGCCTTCCCTGATGCACTCCTGCCCCATCCCTCAGCAGCCAGCAGAATGTATGTGTCGCTCCCTTAGCTCCTCACACGATACCCCTGGTGCCCTACTGACAGCAACTCTGTCTTGTGCTTTAGTACTTTTAGTTGAGTCCCCTCCTCACTGGATGGGAGACACCCAGGGACAGGCAGCAGGTCTGGGCCAGGATGACAGGAGTGCTCAGGAATCAGCTGTGTGCAGAGCAAACTTTCCCGCCAAGTGTTCACTCACTTCTTCACTTCCTCAATGGCCTCTGGCAACCGGCGGCAGGTGGTGAGTAGCAGGGACACAGCGAGTTCGGCAGTAGCATCCGTCAGGACATCCGGGGTGTAGCCCACTCGGATTCCACTAGGAATAAACACCTGGTGGTAACACTGGTCTCAGGCACCTTCACCCATATCTACTGTGGGGACATTTCTACAATGTTAATTTGTTCCCTCTTTGCTCTGCCTGCCAGGAAGCTCATAACTGTAACCGCACACTCAAGAGATAGTCCTCATTTACGTTTCAATTATCTCCCATTTTTGGAAGGATATGAAGATGGAAGGTCAGGGTTTAAGATCTGGGGCAAGTAACTACTTCACCTTTCTGAAATTCTCGTCTGAGAAGGAAGTAAAAATGGCTGCCTTTTCTACTTCAAGGGGCTGTTGTAGGGAATCAAAGAAGAAAATGGATGTGAAAGGGTGATACTTAGACTGAGGTTATCTGCAGTTTCTGACCTCTCAGGTTTATTTTAACTGACCTGTGCACATGTGGACAGATTTATATATTTTTATTTATTTATTTATAGATTTTTGCTATATGGCCTGTGTGCTCACCACAGAGAGAGAAGGAAAGTGTAAAACCACTCCCCAGGGGGGATGACCATGCCTCAGTCCCTTCTTCTCCACTGTCTTCTTAGTATTTTGGCACGCACGCACACACACCCAGCGTGTCATTCAAGCCACTGGGCCCAGGGCTTGAACTGTGCAGTTGGCTATGTAGGATCCAGCACCTGCCATCGTGCCACCTGCATTCCCATGTGGACAGATTTTACCATCAACATCTTACTCCTCACTGAATGGCAGAGGCTATGAAGTGAAAACAAGAAGGTCCCCTCCCCCCTGGTAGCCACCTGTCACTCCAGGCCTACTCTGAATCCCCAGCTGTACTTACCGCTTCTTGATTTCGTCCAAAGCCAAGTGGTCAACGCCCACGGATAGCGTGCTGATCACTTTGAGATTGGATCCTGGCGTATAGAAAACATGGGTTTTAAAGCCACGTTATTTTCTCAGAATATGAGGGAAAGTGACATCTCTGGTTAAAATTTCCAGGTTAAAATTTCCAACTCTCCTCTTGGACTCCTACCCTCCTGACCCTGTGGCCCAGGAGGTTAAGTGGTCTGGCCCAGTTACGAGCAGAGCCAGGGTTCCCCTCAGGGCCTGAGCTCAGGGCGCCCTCTCTTATCCGCTGACTGTCCAACCAGTGAGGCCTGAGGTTTCCTTTTGTCACCCCTTGGGCCTCCCCAAAGGCACCTCCAAGAGTGCCAAGAAGGTGGCTGGGGTGTGATCCTCACACCCTCTCCTCTAAGCAAGATACCCAGAAGCTTCTGGGCCAAAGTCAGAGCAAGTGTTGGCTTGTCACTGACCCACCAGGGTCCCTCCGCATCCGCCAGCCTCTGAGTCTGACCCTTTCCTCAAAACTGTCACAACCACCACCTCGCAAGGAATGTGGACCCTCCCAGGGCTGGGACTGTGGCTGGGGCTGGGACACATCCTGACTGTGGCCTGGTGTTTGGCACCGAGCTGGGTCCTCTGCAGGCTCTGTGCAGGCCAAGAGGGCAGTGCAAGGTCTTGCTCAGTGTCACAAGGCTGCAGCAGGCGGAGGGCCTGGGGCTCTCCTCCCCACCCTCCATCTCCCCTACAGCAGGAGCAAGGGGAGTGTGTGGAAACCCCATGGAGTACCCTCTGGCCTGATGTCACCTCGGGCCAGTGGCAGCAGGTTGACTGCCACACAGGGCTGAGGTCTGGAGTCCTCGCAGCCCCGGGGCGTGTGTACCTGCAGCATCCAGGAGCCTCTTGTCCACGCGGTCAGAAAGCAGGCACAGCAGGCCATGGGCGCCCACCAGTCGACGCTCCAGCTCCTCGGCAGGGATGGGCTCATCGGAATCCCACTGCTCCACCTCACAGCTGAAGGGAACACAAGGCCGCTTAGAGAGGAAGGGTCCCCCACAGATGCCCCAGTGCCCTCAGAGCTGGGAAACGTCTGCTCTGGCCTCAGGCTACCAGAGGCTGGTTGAGAGGAGCCAGGGTCAGGCATGGGCCTTGAAATTGTCCTGAGAGAGTGCTGGAGGGGGAAGGGCTGTCACAGAGCAGAAGTGACAGGTCGGAGGGCTCCAGAACACAGCCTGAACTGCAAGGGACAAGTCTTGGGCTCAGCACAAAGACCAGCTTCCTCACACTCACAAGGACTAGGGTGCCAGGCACAGAAGGCTGCGGCAGGGGTCTGCCTCCGATGGCACCGGGATTCAACGACTACCTGCTTCTGTCCTATGTGCCCTTGTTAACAGGAAACTCAGACTCACACTTTGCCAAGAAAGAGCAAGGTATTTTGACATGGAGGAGGAGCTCTGGAGCAGCAGTGCAGCCTGCCTCCAGCCCTGCCATTCATTCAAGCAGCCAACATGCAGGGGGCATCTACGTGTGCTGGACACAGGCACCCAGAGCACCCTGCTGCCGGCTAAGCCCAGGCACCTCTTGGCCGCCTTTCCTTGACCGTCACGCACTGTTGCAGCTGGAGAGCCACTGCTGCCATCAGTGGTGCCGCTTCTGCCTCCCCGGGGTCCCTCTAAGTGCGCAGCATGCCTTCAGTCCAGGTACACTGACGCGATGCTGCAATGAAGGTACAAGTCTCGTTTCCACTGGTCCCTGACTTGGTACACCTGGTAAAGTGCAGTGAGTGGTCAGACTGCAGAAAGAAGAGGCCGAAGACACACGCCAGCTCCAACACCTGCACACTGTGGCAAGGTTCCCAACCCCTTCTGGCCACAGTTTTTTGTTTGTTTGTTTAATCTGAGAAATGGGAATTATAATACAGGCTAGTCAGTGGCTTAGTGACTAAGGCAGCTGGATCCTACACGGCCTACTGTGCAGTTCTAATCTTGGACCCAGTGGCTTGTGGATCACATCGAACACGTGTGCCCATGTGTGTGTGCCAAAAGTCCTAAGAGGAGAATGGAGCAGAAGGGACTTCAGCATGGCCATCGCCTGTGAGGTGTGATTCCTCAAGGTGTTCCCCCTCTCCAGTGAGCACACACGCCCTATAGCACGTTTTTTTAAAAACACATTTTTAAATAAAAAAATACTGACTTCACAGTGTTGCCAGGATTAGAAGTTCACGTATAGGAAACACCTGGCAAGGTTGGACCATAGAAAGGGTCCCATTTTAAAAGATCCCTACCAACCACCCAAGGGGCCAGGCCAATGACTGCCATGTCCCTGACCCCACCTGCCAGTCAGACAAGCACAGAAGGTAAAGAATGAACAGCCTGGACTTTGCATCAGGGCAATCTCCGCTCTCCGAAGACCATGACCTGCTCCAAGTCTCCTCCCACCTGTCCAGAACCAGAGGGAATTGCAGGTCCCAGTGCATTGCAAGGGCCTGGAGAGAGCTGGGCCCCAGAGAACTCTCTCTATGCCGCTCCAAAACTCCAGGCCCGTCCCAGCCAGACACAGTTGAAAAGTTCTCCAAAAGCCCCGGTGCCAGGTTCCTGCGCCCGGCAACCGGCCCTGTCCCCAAGCACTACTGACGCCCCTGAAGGCTGCCCCAGCCCATCCCGAAGTGCCTGGAGATCGCTGAGTCACCCTGTACCCGGGTGCCTGGAGTTAGGGGCAGGCACACGCCAAGGAGGCCGCGGGCAGCGGTGCTCTGAGCTCCGCAGCCCCCTCCACGATACCGCCCCCAGACCCGCGCGCCCGCGGGCAACTGGACGAGAAGAGCGGCGGGGGCCCCGGGCTCTTACTCTGCGGCCCGGGCTAGCGCGGCCCTGCCCTCGGGGGGGATCCTGCGGGTCACGAACACTTTCATGAGTCGCACCACCCTCATCCAACCTGCAGCCGCTGGACACTGACCGGGACACCGCCGGACGGAAGCTGGACGGGAAGTGGGGCGGGGCCAGGACGGGCAGGGGCGGGGCTATAGAGGGCGGGATGGAGCTACAGAGGGCGGAGCTGGCTATAGAGCGGAAGGCGGGGGCTGAACTTGGAGCAGGGGCGACCGAGGGCTGTAGCTGTGCGGTGACTGTGTTCAGGGAACGACAGAGTGTGTGGACTGGGATGGTGCGCTCTATGCGTCTGCGTGTGCGATCCAGCCCTAATGGAACTGAGGCGGACTGGGACCGTGAGCACCCTCTGCCCCGGGCAGGGAGAGGGGGCTCGGGGACTGGCAGGCGTGTGTAAGGGTTGGAGTGGGCATCCAGAGGGCCATGTGAGTACGTGCGCATGTCTGTGTCCTCGTGAATAGGCTGTCAGAGTGGGGAGAGGTATGCGGCCAGGGGTCACGCCCAGCTCCAGGGCCTGGGCCCCCAACCAACAATGCTAGATCCGCTCCATCCTGGCCACCCTGTTCCAGGCAGAGGCCTCTGGTCACATGCTGGGCTCTGTGCCCGGCCTGATGTGCACACCCTCAGGGGGTCGCTGTAGGAAAAATGACCTCTTTAACACTTGGTGTATTCCCTGTGCGATATCCACCCTTGTGAGAGTTCCAAGTGGCCATGGCCTGCTGGTCACCTGCTGATTGGCTGAAGATCGGTCATGCACAGGGCTAGGGACAAGGTGCTGAGTGGATCGTGTGGGGTCAGGGGCAGACCCAGGGTTTCCAGTCAGAGGACCTGGGTCAGCATCTCAGCGTTGCCACCCTCTTATAAGCTATTTGACCTTGATGAGGTCACGTCATCTTCCTAGGTCAGTTTCTTCAGCTGCAAAATGGGGATGAAACACCTACCTTTGAGGTTGAGTGTGATAGTTAAACAAGATGATGTTTGCTTGGGCTTTGGGCCATGGTGGGTGTTCATCAAGCACTGAGGTCTGTGGAGGAGGGAGGTTAGGCAGTCAGGCTCTGGACCCAAATTGCCTGGGTTCAAATCCCAGCTCTGCCACTAATGAGAAGTTATGAAACTTCTGAGTGCCTCTAGTTTATCATCTGTTCAATGGAGATAATAAAAGTACCTGCCTCGGGGCCAGCAGGTGGTGTTGTGGTTAAAGACACTGGACTCTCACATGGCCAACCATGGTTCAAGTGCTGGACCTCATGGCTTCCTTTCTCACTTTCCCTCTCTTCTGTCTCTCTCTGGTCAAATTGGAAAATGATAATAAATAAAGTTAAAATAAAATAATTCTTAAAAAAATAAAACACGTAAAAAAGAAGTGCCTGCCTCGTGACTCGTCGAGAGGATAAACTGTATGCAGTGTTTACAATAGCTCAGCACATATAGGGGACTATTGGCAAATACGAACACATCCGAGGAAACCAGCTCCCTGGTACCTTGGAGCCTCAGTGGGTCAGAAATGCGGAAGCTGAAGCCAGCTCAGGACAAGAGGGAGTGGCCCAGGCCTGTCCCTCACCTCTGTCCGAGGGCTGTTCAGTTACCTGCTCTCAGGCCTAGGAGGGCCCAGGAAGCAACATGGTGGTCTCTTCTCCCCTGGTTTTTATCTAAGTCCATTGTGGCCCAGGAGGGCCTTAATGAGGGCACTGAAATATGCACAGAGAGGTGATATCACCAGCTCAGGGTCACAGTAAGTCCCTGGGCCATCCGGATCCCTGCCAGAGCTCCATCCTGCCACGTCCCTCTCTTAGGTAACATATTAATCAGAGTCCCCCTCACAGACTGTTATCTGCTAGCTACCTCAGGAAAATGTCTGAAATACATCACACATTAACACAACCAGATGTTTTTCTGTCCCCAGGTCAAGCCCTGTGGGGGACAGTGCAGCCTGTAGCTCTGCTTGCTGTTAACCACTGAACCCAGCTCCTCCCACACACCAAGACAGACAAGGGCACTGGACAAGCCAGTCCACCAGGGCAGGAGGGGACAGGACAGGACAGTGGGTCCTCTCCTCCAAGCCAAAGCACTCAAGTGACATTCAATAAGTGCTACTGGGTGGTGGGAACACAGCCAGAACAAGGAGCCAGCTGAGGGCCCTGGAGGAGGGATCCGCTGAAGTGGAAGGGGCCTACCCAGAGCATCACTGGGTAAACTGATCACAACCATATGGAGTTCTTCGTGGCCCTAGATGTCCTAAACACGCACATGGTGAGTCGCAAATGTTACTGTGCTTTCACACTTGCAAGGTGCCTATTGTTAGTCTCCCCAGTGGGCAGATGAGGAAGAGGAGGGCAAGAAGAATGATGTCATCTGCTGAGTGTCACACAATCACTAAGAGGCAGAGCCTGGAGTCAAGCCTCGCACCCTAGCTCCAGACCCAAGCTCTTCATCACCAGGCAAGGCTGTGGGAGTGGGAAGGGGGAAAGCATGAGTGTAGGACAACGTTTAGGTACTGGCTTGGGGGGACTCTCTTGGAGCTGGCGTCATTTTGATGGATATTCAGGAGGCAGCTAGGAGGAGGCGCAAGTGTCAGATGAAGTGTTGGCAAGAAGAAGGAGCAGTGAGGTCTGGCAGGTGCTGAGTCTGAGATGCCTGGGGATGCTCTGGTGGGGGAGTCTCAGAGAGAGGCAGGTCCATGGCTCTGGTGCCCAGTGAGTGGTGGGGGGGCTGGAGCTGCTCATTCCGGAGTCCTTGGCGACGAAGAAGCAGGAGCCTGGGAGACACCTGGGTGATGGAGGAGCAGGGCCACCGCTATGGTGGGAGGGACTGAAATTTAGTGTGCAAAGGGTCAAAATGGCAGAAAGAAGAGAAGTTGTAGTAGGACTTTTAGAATTTCACTTTTACATTTTTTCTTTAAAAATTTGCCAGAATGCACATGTGCTCTCTGGAGAGAGACAGAGAGAGAAAGGAGAAAGCATCCCTCACGTGGGGCATGGGACTGCCGATGCATCACTGTATGCAACTTGTTGCTTTGCTTACTGCCGTCGTCCTACCATCTTGCACGATGCAGGCGCACAGTAAGCATTTGTTGACTAAAGGAGTGAAGCATGGCGGTGGTGCCTGGTTGGCTTCCCTGGTGCTCATCCCCACAGGGACTTTGACTCTATTACCACCTAGTGGGCACTCCTGTGTACTGCGGGGTGGGGGAGAAAATTGCATCTGTTGAGTCTGATCCCAGGCAGAAGGCAGATGAAGCTGCAGGCCCACTGGTTACCTCTGTGCCTGTGTTCTTGCCTGCTGGCACAGTGCTTCTTGGAAAGGAACTTCCTGGAGGAGGTAGCATTTGAGATGAGCAATGAAGGCAAAAAGATCTGGAATGGTGGGAATGCAAGAGGGAGAAATGGCATTCCTAGCAGAATGAACAGCTCGAGCAGAGGGGCCAGGAGGCTGGGGCCAGCTGGTGATGTGGTGGTTAAGGCACTGGATCCCACATGGCTGACTGCACAGTTTGAGTCTTGGACACAGTGGTTTGAAGAACACACCAAGCACCTGTGTGTGCATACCCAAAGTCCAGAGAGGAGAATGGAGAAGGGATTGCAGTGTGGCCATCCTCCCCTGGGGGTGGGTGGGTGGTGGTGGTGGTGATTTCTCACTTTCTCTTTTTCTTTCCCTCTCTCTGCCTCTGTTGAGCACACATGCCCCCTAGCAAAAATGTTAAAAAGGGGGTTGGAGGCTGGAGACCGGAAAGCTTGGGTACAGCCAGAGGGAAGAGAAATCACAGCAGCTGAGATGGGCAGTGAGAGGCAAGGCCAGAGAGAAATGCAGGAGAAGGAGGAGAAGAGGGCCCAAGGAAAGAGAACCTCTTTGTGAGTGTTTGATCCAGGCATCACCCACAAGAGCTCATTGAATCCCCATAAAGGCCAGCGAAGTCCATATCAGGACTCCCATTTACAGAAGGAAAACTGATGCCCAGATCAGTGGAATGCCCAAGGTCACACAGCTGGTAACAGGCAGAACTGAATTTTAATCTGGATCATTGGACTGGCCTGTATTATGTGTTGGGAAGCTCATTATCTGGATGTGGAAACTGAAGCCCAAAGAGGGGACAGAACATCCTGGGTGATGCCAAGTGCTGCCCAGTGCCCTTCATCCTGGCCCAGCCTGGGCCCCCATCTCACAGCTGGAAGCTGCTGCTTCCATACCCAGGGCCCTGACCAGAGAGGGTAGCAGAGAGGTGGTGCGCCCCCTGGCCAGCCCAGGCTCCTGGAAACTGTGTTCAGTTTTTGGTTCTCAGTGAGCCGTGTCCTAGGGATGGACTGAGTGTGCAGAGCTGTGGCATACTGCCCAGGGTCCTGCACATGGACCGGAACGCTGGCACTGTGGGCCACTTCTCTGCCAGGCAGAGGCCAATCGTCCTGATGCCCAGCTGGCCCTGCTGGCATTAAACACCTGGAATGTGCATGTTGGGGACAGCCAGGAGATTAGCATGGTCAGATTTCTAGGGCTCCCTGGGAGGGGGGGGAGCAGAGTGCAATATTTCTGCTGGGGTTTTTCCCAGAGCGGATTTCTTAGCCCTTCTCAGGGCATAGCTGGGGATTAGTAATGAGCTGTAATAGCCAGGACATTTCATTCTGGGACCAGAATGAAAAACTGTTCTTTTTAAAAACTTTTTTTTATTGTTGTTTTTGCCATAGGGCATGTGCATTTACCAGAGACAGAAAGACAGAGAGAGAGAGGGAATAAGAAAGTAACCCCCAGGGGGATGACACACTGCAATTTCTTCTCCATTTTCCTCTTGGGGTTTTGGGCACATGCACTTGGAGTGTTTGTTTTTAAGCACCGGGTCCAGGACTCGAGCCACTCAGTTGGCCATATGGGATCCACCTTAACCACCATGCCACTAGCTGGCCCTGCTTATTCACCTCCCTTCCTTTTACTCATAATAGAGGGAAAGTGCACATGCACATGAGGGAGACAGGGTCCGGTCACACCGCAGTCGCCTTCCAGTCATTCAGCCCGTCGATCCTGGGCACTCGCATGGATGTCCAGTGTGTTGCCGGCTGACCTGGCCGGGATTCACACCTCGGCGGCCATGTAGGTTCTGGCTTCTCTTCCTCAGTGCATACCTCTGTGCTGTGAAGCTGGTCTCAACTGTTCATTCTTTACAAGCTGGGCTGCCCTCTCCTCCATGACCTGGCTCAACCACCACAGGGGCAAGTGGAGAGCTGCGACCCAGAGCCTGAACTAGCACCCCCTTGTACGGATGGAGCCACGGAGCGGGGAGAGGCCAGGAAGTGAAGGCCGGTCCAGAGCCAACAACAAGCAGAACAATTTCATGTGCAAAGACTCAGCGTGCTTGAGGCACGGGCTGGGCTGCCTCTCAGGAACAAGGCCATTCACCGGGTGCGCTGTGAGCAGGGAGTCCTCAGACATGGATCGCCAAGGTGTGGTGTGACTTCTGGGCAGGGCTGTTGTCACCAGGGAGGGTGCCTGCAGGAGAAGCCATCTGTGCTAGGCCCAGAGGGCTCCTCTTCTGTCAGGAGGCTGTCCAGGACGATGGTCTAGGAAAAGGAACAGCTTGAGTAAGGCTCAGAAACTTGGTCTTGGGTCAGGGTACCCAGAAGCAGGCTCTGAGTTGAGGATGGGAAAGTGGTTTAATAAGAAAGTGCTCCCAGACTGAGCCAGGGAAGGAGCCGAAGAGGAGAGGGAGGGAGGAAGCAAACAGCCCATTTCTGGCCTGTCCACACTGGAGTGTAAGTTACACCTGCAACCCTGAGCAGGGGAGCTGGGCTTCCACGTCCCCACATCTGGCAGTTAGCTCAGTCAGGAGATCCGGGCTGAGGGCAGCTCCCTGGAGGAGGAGAAACGGGCTGCACAGCGTGATGACGGTGTGGGGTGTGTAGTTTCTTCTGAGGAAAGAAGCTTCTGTAGCTTCTCAGCAGGACCCGAGGAAGGAGCTGGGGCACCTTGCTGGAAGCCCAAGGTCGCTGTTCCCTTAATTTCCAGGCCATGGAGGAGGGCGGACCTGGCTCCCTGCAGGCCACAGAGCTTCACCCAATGACTTCAGCAGAAGTCCCATAATCCACCTCTGGAAAGCCCTGCATCACCTGCTGCTGTTTGGGTCCAAGAGCTTGAACTGCACCGAGGGACCAGCTCCTCAGGTGAAGGGGAAACTGCCTTATTCTGCCAAAACAGTTCAGAAATGAATCGCTGACTTGGCCTGGACCCCGTGAAGCTGTATCGACAGGAGCTCAGGTGCAGGCCAAGGGAGCCATCGGCCTGGGTGCCCTGAGCACAGCCACGGCTGACTAGGGGCAGTCCAGGGAGGTGGGTGTGTACTTGTGGCAACTCCCTACCTTTTCAGTTGACCCCATTTTTATTCTTTTCTCCCTTCCTTTAAGGCTCCACCTGGACTTCTTGGCTTCCAGCCTTGCCTTCTCCAGTCCATTTTCCTAGAGCTGCCAAAAGATCCTCTCTAAAAAGTATATGTGGGGCCTGGCAGATGACATGGTGGTTAAGATGCTGGACTCCCACATTGCCTACTGTGGTTCAAGTCCTGGACCTGGTGGCTGGCTTTCTTACTTTCCCTCTCTCTCTCTGCCGCTCTATGGTCAATTTTAAAAATAATAAAAAAACTAAATCATTCTTTAAAAAATTGAAAAGCAAACCTGACCCTGTCCCTTCTTTGCCTGCCACCTTCCATGGCTCCTCATTGCTCTAAGAAAAAAAGACCGAAGCTCCATTGGCTCCCAAGGCCTCCCCGGATGGCAAAGAGGCTCAGTCTACAGAGACTAGGAGCACTTCAGCACACGTCAGGCTGAAACCCCAAGGGCTACAGGGGCCCCTCAGAACCTGCAGAGCTTCATGGGCAGCAGCCCAGCTGTCCCGGAAGAGTTGCCCTGGGACCTGCCCCTGGAGCCTCCTAGCCAGCTTGCCTCAATGATTAATTTATGGAAAGCGTCTACAGTGGGAGTCAACACAGTCCTCCAAATCTCCTCTAATCCCATGAGAGAGAGCAGCAGCCTGGAGGAGGGGCTTGTCTCTCAATGATTAAGTTTAGTTTTATTTCAGGAAAACAAAACAAAATGAGACATTTCAGGGTCTTATTGTCACAATTGTCTGCATAATGGGGAAGATGCCAGCCAGTGTTTAGTGAGACACAGGGGTCCTTGGGGTCCTCCTCAGGGAGGAATGGAAGGGTAGAACAGGGACTCCTGTTCACCGAAATATCCTCTTGACTCGATCTTTATTGTAAAAGTATTTACTTATTCACTTAATCACTCATTCATTTAGGAAGGTGGGAGGCACCCCAACCGGGTCCTCGTGCTGCAATCCACCCCTGACGTGGCTAGCCCAGACATGCTCCGAGCATGTTCGGGGGTGGGGGGGTCTCGGATGTTCACCCAGGACCATTTGCATGTGGGTCAGGTTGCGGTACCCCTGTGCCACCACTACCAAGCCCCTTGGTTCTGTCTTTCAGGACACACAGAAGTTGACCTCTCCCCACATCTGTTGCCTCCACCCTGGTCCACAGCATGGCCACCTTTGCAATGGCCTCTCTGTGTCTGTCCCTTCCTGCTCCAGTCTCTCCCCGGGGCAGCCAAAGCCAAGCCTGCTGCTGGTTCCCCAAGGAAGCCCTCTAAGGACTCCCAGCTCCCACAGGGCAAGGCCATGGCCTTTCTGACCTCACTCCCTTCTCCAGCTTCCCTGGGGGTTCTGCTGTCTTACCCTCTGCCTGGCAACCCTCCTGCACTTGCTGTTCCGTGGCCTGCAACGTCTCCCCCGGCCATGTCCGCCACGTCTGCACTTACCGCCTGTATCGCTCACTTGAAAGCCGGCCCTCTGCACGCTTCTCTGTCTGCACGCCCATTCGCTCTCTACCCCCTCATCCTGTTTTGTTCCCCTGCACTCACTCCCATCTCCATTCAGCCTTCTTTCTCTGTTACTTGTCTAGTTTCTGTCTACCCCCCACCAGAACTCAAGTTCTGGGAGCAGGGCTTTGCCTCCTTCACCGCCAGCTCTGCATCCTGAGAACGGTGCCTGCTGCCTTGTAGCAGGTGCTCCATAAATAGTTACAGAATAAAGGAATGAGTGATGTCCGTCGGTGAGAGCGAGTTGGGAAGCCCTGAGGGTGGAGTCAGTCTGAACGTTACCTCCTGTGAGGAGTCTTCTGTCCGAATTTTGAGTGGGTTCTGGCAGCAGGCAGCAGCTTTGATCACGCAACAGGACTGTTTTTTGTTTTGCTTTCAATTTTTGCTATAGGGCACGTGCACTCTCCAGAGACACAGAGAGAGAGAGAGAGAGAGAGTGAGAAATTACCCCCCAGGGGATGGCCATGCCACCATTCCTCCTCCTCCTCCATCTTCCTCTTGGGATTTTGAGCATGCACACACACGCACCTGGAGTGTTTTTCAAGCTGCCAGGTCCAGGACTCAAATCGCACAGTTGGCTATTTGGGATTCAGCCGCCCTAACACCACACCACTGGCTGGCCCACCTCTCTCTCTCACTCTTTTCAAAGTTTACTTAGGCATTTTTTCATGAACGACATATGCAGAGAGATAGAGACAGAGACAGTACCCCCAAGAGGGTCTCGATACCAAAATCCACCTGCCCCAGCCACACGTG